AACGTTCCAAAACTTTGTTGGTCCTAGTATTGGAAGATTGCCAAAGGCCACTTGAACCTAATATTGTCTTTGTAATGTCTACATCATAGAATCTTACTTCTTATTGCTAGTAGTTAATTACAAGCCAAGAAATATCTTTGGTTGCTAATTATTTAATTAACAGAACAAGACAGGGATGGAAGTAAGTGCAATATAATTAGAGACCATACAGGATATGGCTTGTTTGGTCAAGTTTTCAACATAAATAAATTGTGATCCCACGTCAATATTATAGAAGCAAGTTGCACGGTTGCATTGTCTGTTACAATTGGAAGCAGCCAAACAGTGTACATGCATGCCTGAAAACGAAAAGAATATATCATTTATATTTCTTAACAGTCCAGAAGCAAAGCAAGCACGGTCATGGTGTGTCCCTTTCAGGTACTCTCTCTCTCTCTCTCTCTCTCTCTCTCTCTCAACGAATTCCGCAGAGAGAGACAACTTCTCATGCAAAATGCTGGGCCCCAGTTAATTACAAACGAAATGAAGGAGAAACGTCAAAACCTATACTTTGCCATTTTGCTTGCGTAGGTAGGGTTAGCTGGTGGCCTCCAAGTGCCCAACAAAGTAGCCCAACTCTACGTGTGTCGTTTTGTATTTTTTTGGTCAAAGTCTTCATGCATGCGTAAATCGGTTTCGTTTGCAACTCTAGCTATAGCTAGCTCCCTAGAGAGAGATTTTATATGGCTACTGTACTTGAGTCTTGGCTTCGCAAAACAAAGAGAAAGACAATAAGGTTATTAACCTCGTCAGGCAAGACCTAAAAAGACTCAAACAAGAGAGTATACACTCTCATTCTCTTATAAGGATACTCTTATTTTAAGAAAAGTACTAATTAAGGACAATAGTGTTTGTAATATGGTCTCATTTAATTCAGATCATACTTATCTCTACTTGGTTAGAGGAGGTGTCGGTTCGACTCACATGAATGACGATGACGATATATATTTGTGATGAGTTTGATACCTAATTAATAGTGATGTACGAAATCATTTGATTATTACCGTGATTATGTCTATATTTATTTAATACACAATGTTTGTTTATTTATCTCGAAATAACTGAATGAGTAAATGACTTTTTTGTTCTATTGGTTTGTATGATTATTTTTATAGAGACATCTAGCTAGTAACCAAAAAGAAAAACATAATGAATAATTTTTTTCCTGAAATTTTTTTTTAAAGATGAACTTAATATAAAAAAATCCATCTAGCGTGATTTGAGTATTTTACCTTGAGTTACTAACTTACTATGAACCCTATGCGCATAAAATCCTAAACATGTTGCCACTGCACACAACATAACCCACTTCCTCTGCCTATTTTACCAAGAGATTAAAACAAAAAACAATTTATAAAAATAAAAAGCAATTAAAAACTAAATCATTTGTAAACAAATAAATAATAGATTCTTGAGATAGATTTACTGACTAAATATGATAGGTTTTGGTGGTCTAGCTAGATACGGGTGGCATACGAGGAACATATGATAATCTGCAGACACTGCTTTATACAAATTTTGCCAAAATCACTTGCCTGAAAAGCTGGGGTGGAGAGAGAGAGCCCTTCAATTAATTTCGCAGGGCGAAGAAAAAACCCTGATGATCGGGGTTACTGTTTCCGGTATTCTCGGTTGCTGGTCTCGCACTTGTTTTTTATTTCCAGCCGAAACCCAAAAGCTTTTCCTGGCCTTGTTTGGTACTTTTCACAGCAGGAAAAGTGCTTAACCGCGGCCTATATTTGTACAGAAGACTGCATTGTTGCTTCTTTGACCAATTAAACAGGGGGTTCAAACTCGTAAAAGTGCTTTTCCCTTTGGCTTAATTTGCCTTTGTTTGCCTTCTTTTATACTTAGAAAGGAAAAATTAAATCATCTCCCATTTAGGGTATATATCTTTATTCATGATCATGAAAATCAACAGAAAATGATCAAATGTTTGTTATTGGGTCCCTACTGATTCAATATAATCTTAATCAAATTTGAGCAGTTTCAAAACTGCTTTTAAACGAAGCAGATATGAGTCTTCAATGAATTTTGTAATTCTTAAAATACGATTATTAATTTTTTTAAATGACACCACCTCCACATCCGACTCCGTCACCTCCACCACCACCACATCCTTCTCCTCCTCCTCCGCCACCACGGCCATCACAACTACCACCTCCTCCTCCTCTACCACTTCTTTCATCACCATCACCACATGATTAGCGCATAACACTTTCAACATCATGTATATTTTAGTCATTATTCACAGTTACAACAGTTTCACATTAAAATTTACCAAACGGTTTTGACACTGTTTTGTGTACTAAAACACTTTAAAAAATATTGTTTACCAAACATAGAGTTACTTTACTTTTAGCTAATTATTTTCAAAGCATATCATAATTAATTTTATTTAAAGTGACAACAATCGCAAATTGGCCATTAATGCAATCTTAATCAAATTTGAGCAGTTTCAATAAATTTGATGAATTGGATTTTATCTTAAAATTTAAAATATAACATAATTGAATCGGATGACGAATTTTGTTATGAAAATCCGTTTTAATTTAGTTACTCTCATGTTTCTTTGATTTTATAAGCATATTAGTTATAATGGAATTATGTATATGTAATTCTTTACAATTCAGTCATAAATAATCTTGTACTTGGTGAGGTTTATTATATTTTATTTTTTTAGGTTAATAATGCGTGTTAGATATGACATTAGTCTTTAACTGCCCAATTGCAATTTACCCAAAGTACGATAAAATCTTTCCAACAAAAATTACCAACTAAAATCACAGTAAGATAAACACGAGGTGAATGTTAAGTACAAAACAAAAGTAAGCATCAGTCTTCAGTATGGGGCCATCCATTTGGTCAAATGTCGCTTGGTAGTGGAAATCAGCAAATTACCTCAATATGGGGCAAGTCGAAAACACTTGTACATGTTAGCTAAATTTATTAAAGAGCATCTTTAAGAGAGATGTAAAATATAAAATGTTAAATTTGAATGTGATGGTTTATATGGCAATCTGACACTTGGTAAAATGGAGCGTATATGATGCATAAAAACTTCAAAAGAGAATAAATAATAATGGGGTCCATGATTAAAAAAATATTAAAAAAATATTTGACGTCAAACTTTATGAGATGTTATTTTTGACATATCTCTCCCCATTTTCAAATCCATATAGGATTTAAATACTCGATTGAAATACCCTTAAACTCACAAATTTTGTTATTTCATGTCCATGTGGGAATTTAACATCTCTTTTGGATATGCTTCAAAGATTGAGAACAACAGTTGGGGGGTTTTTAAATTATGGCATGAAAGATGAAATGCCATTTTTTTATTTTTTATTTATTTGTAGTTTCACTTTTTTATCGGGTATGTATGAGAGGGAAAATTAAAATTTTCCAAGTTTAATAAATAATCCATTAAATATAAAAATCACCCTTAGACAAAAATTTTGGGCCATGATTAATTATGAGCTCAAAATGACCCAAAATAGAGGCATTCGAACAATTGTGAGTGTGTTGGCCGAAAAAGCTGTAAATCGACAACTCATAATCTCTTATGATATTTTGGTTCGCAAAAATAAATTGATAAGAAATAAATATTCATGTTTAGTCTCAAGTAAATGTTCATTTTCTATGTTTGGTAATTCTAGAAAAGTAATAAGGAAATACCATTTTACCTCATTTTCCATATTTAGTTTGTGCATGAATTGAAACAAATTTTGTTTAATTTTTCAATTATACTCGCAAATTACAAATAAATTTTTTTTTAAAAAAGGGTAATCAATGCTTCACTTGAAGTATTTTTGAACCGTTCAAGTTACACCAATTCTGAAAGTTTCTAAATCCATTACACTAGTTCAAAATGCCAACATGGTACTAGAATGTGTGAATGAATCTTGGGTGCCAAAATGGTGGTTAGAACTTGGTTGTAGTTAATGTTGAAAAAAAAACAGGTTTAATAGAAAAGTAAATATTGAATTCCAAAGGGCGGTGTAAAAAGAATTTGAAATTGGAGGTGGGTCTATATGACTACAAGCAGTTGCAGGCAGACCAGATCTGGGTGAGAGTTAAACAAGTAAAGCTGCATTGCATGTAAGACAAGTGTTTGGAGGAGTGAGAAGATGGCCAGTTTGGTAAAAATAAAAATAAAAAGGGTCAATATAAAGTTAACGAAGACTAGGCAGTGAAGAGAAGAGAGCTGAAAACAAACAAACCCTAACAAATTCTCATATTTCAGCCAGCCCGGATCTTTCGCGACCTTGTTTCAGACAAATTTTCTTCTGCGCCCTCACCCAAAAGTCTTTTTAGTCCTCCCCCCAACTTCCCTTCTATCTCTTTTTTTATTGTTCACTTTTCGACTCTTCTTTATAATAACCCAACATCTTCCTCTTCCTTTCTCTTCCTTTATCTTCTTCCTTCCTTCTTCATCCTCTCTCTCTCTCTCTCTCTCTCTCTCTCACTAACCCAGTTCAAGTTGAAGCTTTTGAGCTAAACCCAAATGGGTTTTGCATGCATTGTGTTTCCAAGGGATTGATTGGCTTAATAATACTGTTCGAACTTCAAGGCTCAGCTTGCTTCTAGATAGCTCAGAACGTGTTTGAAGTAATTCCTCCGTAACCTCGTGATTATCGTAACCCAGATGAGATTAGGCACTACTCGCTAGCTAGCTTTAAGTAACGGTTTGAGGCAGTTTCATTTTGTTTGGGTGAGGAGAAAGAAAATAATATTAAAGTTGGTTTCTTTTCTTTCCAGTGGTTGTTTGTTTGTACATCACTCTTTTTTTTCTTCTTCCACTGTTTGTTTTCTGAGAAAATTTAATTATTTCTCTTCTTTTTTTCCTTCCCCAAATGTGATACTGATCCGTGCATGTTTGCTTCTTCAGATTTATCACAAGCAGACAAAAACAGGAGTTCCCTCTATAGGCTGAAACGTCTTTTTAAGCAAGTACAAATATGGCTCCAGCGAGTAATTGGTTATCCTTCTCTTTAATGTCTCCCATGGAAATTCTCAGGTCCTCTGAGTCTGAATCTCCCTTTGTTCCCTATGACACATCCTCCACCGCCTCTCCTCACTACTTCCTTGATAACTTCTATGCCAACGGTAAACGGGTTCTCTCTCATTTTTTTACAATCGAGTTTTCTGTATGCTCTGTTTGGTTGCTGAGAAGATTCCACTGAAAATGCTTGTGCTTATGTATTCAGTCAGCTAGAAACAGAGCTTGAGCTTTGTTTGATTATTTATATTCTTTCTTTCTCTTCTTTCTGGGTCACGTGAAAATCCCAAAACCTTCTCTTTTGTTTGGTTGATAGAGGAGGTGAATCGGAGAAAAATACAAGGAATTTCTGTTTTTGTTTGAGCTGAAAATAAATGCTTTATCTCAACTGCATGTGCGTAATAATCAAAGTTTTTGTTTTCTTCTTTTTCTCAAAGGCTGGACGAACCCCAAGTCCCAAGGGTTTTTTGCAGACGGTGAAGATCACAACAACCAGAGCAAACAAGGCCACGCCGATTCACCCAATCTCACCAGCTTCATCGACCCACAGAGCCATCACCAACCTATTCCAAAGCTGGAGGACTTTCTAGGCGATTCTTCATCCATGGTGCGCTATTCCGATAGCCAAACAGAGACCCAAGACTCCTCGTCCCTGACCCACATGTACGACCAGAGCTCGGCCTATTTTGGCGACCATCAGCAGCAGCAAGATCTCAAGGCGATTACTGGGTTTCAGGCCTTTTCGACGAACTCGGGCTCGGAAGTGGAGGACTCGGCGACCATGGCCCGGACGACTCAGCTCGCTGGCGGCGAATTCACGGGTCATTCTATTGAGTCGAACGGGAACGAGTTGGGAGGCGGGTTCTCTAGCTGTGGCACAAATGCTCTGTCGCTTGGGGTCACCACCCAGAGCTCTTCTCAGTCTAAAGCCATTGTTCCCGCGGACAGCGACGGCTCTAAGAAGATCGCTGATACTTTTGGCCAGAGGACTTCAATTTACAGAGGGGTCACTAGGTAATTAATTTTCTATTCTTTTTTTTGTTGTTATTTATCAATTTATTTTTTTGGGTTCCTTTCAAATTTTAATGTTCCTGATCCATTTTGGGTTTTTATGGCTGTTTTTGGTGAAAATTACTATGAGATTAATTAATTTTTCTCAAATTTTAATGGGATTTGATTAATTTTTATTTTAATGTGAATGCATGCATCTGGTTGGATTAATTAAGAGTATTGGGTATTGGGCATTTTGACCACCCAATGTGTTAAAATTGTGGTGTTTGAGGATTTGACTGATTAATTTAATTGAAAAGTATGATGTATCATCACTCTTGTCTGGAAGAAGGTCATATTCGTATCTGCAGTACAAGTCTCTGACTGTATCTTTGTATTTTGCTACAGACACCGGTGGACGGGTAGATATGAAGCGCATCTATGGGATAACAGCTGTAGAAGAGAGGGTCAGGCCAGGAAAGGGCGTCAAGGTCCTCTCTCTCTCTCTCTCTCTCTCTCTATATGTATATATCTGCTATATCTGCTTCAATTTCTGCACTATGCACAGTATAAAATAAAGCATGTATAATTACGTACATGTATACACATATAATATAATGCATAGAGATTGTACTGTAGCACTGAAAAGAAGCTTGCATGCAATACAAAGGCAAAGCCCAATTAATGTGGGGGAGGGGCTGTGGATTTCTGGTGGTGGTGGGGGACACTTTAACCTCCTTTTTCATTAGTCTCACATGATTGATTGATGGTATCTGTGTACAATTGGTACTTTTATATTTTCTGTTCAGATGAGTTTTCTCTTCTTTCTTGCTCTGTTTTTATTTATTGATTTCTTTCTTTCTTTCTTTCTTTCTTTCAATCAGTTTTGATTTGATCAGATGTGCCGCCATTTTGTCCATGTGGGTTTTAATTTGCCTTTGCTTTGTTGTCTGGCCCTTCGCCCTCGGTTTTTCCTTCCATCTCAACTGGCTCTGTATAAGATGTACCACTCATTTGTGAATTGACACGACCCACACCCTACACCCCCTCCTCCTCTCCTCACTTCCCTCCTCACACCTTGAATTTGCAGACCCTCAATGACTCTCTGATATCTTCTGACCTCAGATGCTTTAACTTTTACTTTTGCTTTCATCCCTCTGTACAGGTTTGGGTTTGACCAAAGCACCACCCACTTGAATTTTTATTATTTTTTATTATTTAAAACATGGCTTCCTTTATTTTAGCCGTAACATGTTGATAGCGACTCTCCTGGACTGTAGCCTGGTAAAGTGCGAGCTAGATTCTGGTCCATTGTCCATACACACACATGAAACCTCATAATCTCATATGCAGTTTGTGCCCATGACTTGTGTTGTGTGGGAAAAAAAAAGAAAGAGTTGAATAAATGTTGTTGGATTCTAACTTAAATAAGCCCAAAAAGAAAAAGTGAAGTAGTGATTGGGACAATCCATATTAGACTAAGCTATCAACATGCAAATCACATGCCTCTTTTTTGTTTCATAAATTATAACATATGCTAGTCTACTTAGCAGGAAATTTTGATTGCTATGTCTGCTGATGATGATTTCTTATTTACCTTTTGCATAAAATGTGGGATTTGGTTATCTGGCTGTCGTTCAACATCTGATCCTCTTTCTACAGTTTACTTGGGTAAGATACTAACGAAGTTTACTTTTCCTTGAAACAAAAATTTAGAGTAATTTTTTTTATTAACCTTGTGTAATTTTCAGGTGGATATGACAAGGAAGATAAGGCAGCAAGGGCTTATGATTTGGCTGCTCTGAAATACTGGGGTCCTACTGCAACTACCAACTTTCCAGTAGTACACATGAACAAATTAATTCTATTGACTATCCCTTGTTTCTGCATGTAAAGCAATCTGACATAGAACATGAACTAGTACTTAGCAGATTGATTTTCACGTTCTCAGGTTTCGACTTACAGCAGAGAACTGGAAGATATGAAACATGTAACCAAGCAAGAATTCATTGCGTCGCTCAGAAGGTTTGCTCAAACCCCTTTTGTTTGCTATGTGTTTGTCTGTTGTGCAGTTAATTAAACAGTTGTCCCCAATTTTTCACTTACAGGAAAAGCAGTGGTTTTTCGAGGGGAGCTTCTATTTACCGGGGGGTTACAAGGTCAGTACATCTAGATTCAAAAGATTACTCGAACATTCCTTGTCTAGTTTGGGTGTACAATTTTTTTTCTTCCCCTGAATGGTTATATTTGTTACATAAACAAGTTGTGTATCTCATGCATTGTTTAATTTGATATTGCAGGCATCATCAACAAGGCCGATGGCAAGCAAGGATAGGCCGTGTTGCCGGGAACAAAGACCTATACCTTGGGACATTTGGTAACAACTTTACCTAGCACATTTCATTGCAATATGTGACATATTGATTAATGGAGTCCAATTTAAGTCTTCAAGTTGATTTTAATTTCTGTGATTCAAGCATAAGATTTTTAGGTAATTAGGATGTGTTAGTTTTTTATCTTGGATTTGTCTGATAGGCTCCAAGTATTCAAATTTTATGCTTATTTGGAAGAAAATTATCATGCAGTTTTTAATAATGACATGACCTTTCATTGTTAACAGCCACTGAAGAGGAAGCAGCAGAGGCATATGACATAGCGGCCATAAAGTTCAGGGGTATTAATGCAGTTACAAATTTTGAGATGAATCGATATGATGTTGAAGCTATTGGCAAGAGTTCTCTTCCTGTCGGTGGGGCAGCGAAGCGCTTAAAGCTCTCACTCGAAGCTGAAGAGCAGAAACCATCTGTAAACCATGATCAGCAGCGTCCTCAATGCAGCAGCGGCAGCAACAACATCAATTTTACTTCGATGCAGCCAGCAGTTCAATCGATACCGTGTGGGATTCCTTATGATGCTGCAGCTGCAACAGCATATTATCATCACAACCTCTTCCAGCAATTTCAACCGAACTACTATGGCGCTTGTGATTCATCCGGATTAACCCCTAGCATTGCAACTCAGATGAGCATGATGCCGCAGCAGCCAGCTGAGTTTTATATTTGGCCTCACCACCAATCCAATTGATAGGACTAAACAGTTGTTGCTTCATATGTTAGCCGCTAACATTATCCGGCTGACCAACATCTGACCCTCACTCCAATCCACCTCTCAACCTTAGGATTTAGGATTAGAAAAGGCATAAGAGGTTTTTTGTTTGGAGGCTAAAATTCTGGATACAGTAGGAAGCTGGGTTTTGTATTTAAGGTGGGAAACGTTGAATGGTGTATCCATCTGCTTTTTAAGAATTTCCTTCTCTTTCCTTTTGGATATCTTTCCAAACCTGCATTGTCTTCGGTTGTTTTTATCTGCTCCCATGCCGACATTTTGGTTTTTGCACTGAAACGTCGAATGATCTGGCGAACTTAATGCTTGGTCTTTTATTCGGTTACATTTAGGAGGATCGAATTTGAACCTGCTTAGCTCATCGACTCACCCTCCCTCACCACTAGGGCTAATTGCCTCATCCTTCCTCACCACTAGTACTAATTTTGAAAGCTCAATTGAACATTTCCGAATATGTATACTGCTAAGAGCTCCCTCACCATTAGGGCCAACTGCCTCATCCTTCCTCACCACTAGTACTAATTTCGAAAGCTCGATTGAACATTTCTGAATATGTATAGCGCTAAGAGCTCATTTAAGAATGCTATTGTAGGAAGCACTTATGTTCATAAAGTGCTTATTATGCCTAAAATCTTCGAAGGATAAAGATTGTTAAAAGTAGTTTTTATTACTGATGTGAACCATGTGACGAATGATTTTCATGGGCATTCTATAAAGGTGAGTACAAAATGTGGGCACTTTCTGAAATAAAGATATTAATCCCATAATTAATCAATTACGCAAGAAAAAGAAAAGACATAATAGATCAAAATTAAAATGACCATAACGCTTATCACAAAAACATTTGGGCCTTTTAAGCCCAAAGTCATATACAAACTACCAGAGCTAGGATCCTAACCGATCCAAGCCTTGACGGGCCAAAACTGACCCGGGCTCAGCCCTCAGGGCCCGCTCAAAAGCCTCCCTAGCTTCCTCCTTCATCCCCTTCCACTCGTAGCACTGACCCAACAAACAGAACGACGTCACATCATCTCCCTCGCCTCGACTCAGGCTGACCGCTTGCACGAGGTCCTCGACGGCCGAGTCAACCCGGCGCCTCCGGTTCAGCCCGATCTTCAATTCCGCCCTCTTCACCAGTGCCTCCCCACGCTCCCTCTCCGAGAGTGACTTCACGCACGGCGGCGATAGAGCCACGTCGAACGATTTCAGCGCGGAGGTCTTGTGCCCCAAGAGATCGAGAGCTAGGGCTTTGAGAATGTGCGGGCCCGGGTCTCTCGGGGAGAGAGCCAGTGCCTTCTCCGCCTCCGTTAAGGCGTTTTTGGCATGGGCCTGCGATTGGGCTTTGTGAGGATTGGATCGGGCTCGGGTCAGGAGGTGAGACCCTTGGACGAAGTGGCGGGTCGATTGGAGGTTGGCTCGGTTGTTGGTTCGGAGCTTGGTTAGAGCTTTTCTGGAGATTTTGTGTATGGCGAAGAACATTGCTAGGGTTAGGATGAGAAGGCCGAGCTGTAGCACCACCTCAGGCGCCATTTTCTTCAGTCTTTTTGGGTTTCGTGGAATCGACGGTAGCGATTGAATCAATGATAGGTTGATCGTTATCCGATTGAACCTGAGTCGTTGATTTTGGCTGAGGACCAGAATGTTTGATACAGAGATGGAGAGAACTCCGAGATTGGTGTTTGTGGATTATTTGATTTGATGTATAGGGTGCTTTGGCAATTAAAAGGGGTTCGTTTTGGTCCCAAGTTTTTCATTTTTTTAAAACCTTAATTAACCAATGCAAATAATTTTCTGTGTAATCTATTGTATTGTTGTTGGTAGGTGAAGTCACAATTGATCAAGAAAACAATGAACTTGATTCAGAATTGTTCTACATGATGTGAATTTATAGATACAACCATCATGGGAGTACACTTTGTCTAACAAAAGTAACTTTCTTTTGCTAGATACATGGGCATGTTATGTTGTCGGTTACCAATTTAAGTTCGTGGTGTTGGAATGTACAATTTCCCGATTGATTGTTTGACAACATAACATGCCCGACCAAACAAACTGACTCGTGACAATGACAAAATGCCACTTTTCCTAGTATTCTCTACAAATATATAGGAAGGGCACAAGCCGGTGAGAACTACTTAACCCATACACCAAAGGGTACTAACCAATTCCAAAACTTTCACACTGCCAAAGTAACAAGAAGAGGCTGCAGGAGAAAGAGCAATGCAGAGGGAGACAAGGCAAAGCAAAGCACTACTGATCCATTACGAGTTGCCGGTGGCGATTTAGGTCACTCAAGTAGTTAGAACAAGTATAATCTTCCAAGTCACAAGCCTCTAAAACGAGTGATCTCACTACTGAAGACTTTTGTTTCAACTGATCTACAATTCCACCCTCACCCTTTAGTATCTGCACTACCTGCACTCTCACCAATTTTGTTTCATCAGTCAATCTTGCAGCTTTTGGTTTGGAAAACGAAATTAATGTGAAACAGGAAACAGATTTCATACCCGATTCATGTACGGACGCTTTGTGGATTGATGACTGATGCACATTGAAGCTGTCACCATGGCTCTTTTCATCTCCACTGGATCAAATGCATCTCCTAACCGAGGATCTGCTAGTTCCTTGACATTACTAGCATCCAGAAGTGGTTTTGCCTGTGGATAACACAAAAATGATCACTCATATCATCTTTCATGGAACATGTTCATCTTATCTAAACTCATAACAACGGAATTGTTCAATACAAAACCCTGCAGCCTACAGATAGTCAAGCAGACTTAACCCTTGAAAAATTTGTGCATCCTTTGATTGTTCAGTGATAAACTTTCTACGTTTTTTTGGGTACATTGAGATGAAAATGGAGTTGTGACGTATCCTAATGCCAATCCTTTTTTCCAACCCACCATCTGGACTTGGCTAAGGGGCATAAACATGCTAGGCTATAGCATAACATATGCATACCCATATCACGAGGCTTTGCTGAGTTGAATCAACTGCGCGGCGACCTGTTATGAGCTCCAGTAATAAAACACCATATGCAAATACATCCGTCTTCTCGTCAACAATCCCGTGCATAAAATACTCTGGAGACAAGTACCTGAAACATTTTGAAGATCCATAAAGCCAAACATCTACCACAGATGAAAGTGAGCAATCATAACAAATGAATAATTGAAACTGCATGCTAACCCGAATGTGCCTTCAATAGGGAATACAACATGGTGAGTCCATTTTTCTGGGAGCCACTTCGCTAGTCCAAAATCAGATATCTGCAGCAACAGTAAAATAGAACTCATTCTATGTTTAGAAAATTCATTAAGAACAAATTATATGAAAAAACAGACTTGAAGAACAACAAAAATACCTGAGCTTCATAATCTTCGGTTAGTAAGATATTAGAGGCCTTGATGTCTCTGTGAATAATGCGCCTGTGGCATTCGTGATGGAGATATCGCAAGCCTTCTGCTATCCCAACTGCTACCTTAAACCTGACCTTCCAGTCCATAGATTCTTCTGAACCTGATATGCAGAATATCTTTATGTGCTTACTCTGTAAGCCAAACAATGATATTGGAAGAAATACAGAGTCTAAGAAAATCAGAAAACAAATATCATACCAAAAAGTAGAGAAGCTAAGCTGCCATGTGGGGAAAATTGGAGTACAAGGTGCAAACCACCATCGATGCCAAACCCAAGCAACCGAGCAGCATTCGGGTGGCTTATGTGTGCAATAATCCCAAGCTCTCCTAAGAAATCACCAACTCTATCCTCATTTTCTCTCTCTTTCTTCATTAGCCTCTTTACAGCTATAATTTGACCATTGGATAAGAGCCCCTTGTAAACTTCTGCTTGGCCACCTTTCCCAACTAAGTTCTCTGCCAAGTATTATGCAATCATAACTTAAAAAGTAAACCAAGAAAATACTAATTGATGATCAAACAATTGGATGTAAACATTAATCTGTCAGTGGCTGCATTTTGCATCCTATGAAGAAGTTGGGACTGGGATTTTGACTATAGCTGATCATATTCATACATGTGATGGAGCCTCTACCCTGTGGCAAACAAAGACCCAAGATTGGAACTAAAAGTTTCACCAACAAGTCACCAACCCACTTTAAAGCTACAGTCATCAGATCAAACTTCCACAGCTAAAACCCCCAGAAATAAAATAGATATAAAAAAAAACTTGTTGATGTCAAAACAGTGGTCATAAAAGCAGAAATTAGAAAAGTTAAAAATTGGGTCCAACAAAATCGTTTTTAGCAGCAAAATCAGAATCTATCCAAAGACAAAGTCAATTAGCAGCAATAACCCTAAGCCTAGTTAACTGAATCTAAGGGACTACACTAGTGGTCAAGAAGACTCAAGCAGCAACCCAGGTCCCACAATTGCTTTCCTGCTCCGTCGGTCCAAACAAACTTTTGTCAAAAGGGTAGGCTAAAAACGACATGCAATGGTGGCTGGACCCAAAGAGCTCAAATTTAATTCCCAAATGCAACAACAAAAGAAGAAGAAGAAAAAAAAAAGGTTTAAAATTCATACCTGGTTTGAAATCGCCAGTGGCAGCAGCAAGCTCAGCAAAATCAAAGTTCCTCCATGACGGTTTCGTAACTATCATCCCATCAACATCTGCTCCTTCCTCCTCATCCTCGGCGGTCCAAATCCGAGCCAGTCTCCTCCTTAAGTTTCTCCTCGACAATTCATAGCTGGTACCCAATAAGGGAATCGTTGAGAATCGCCTAGCTGACTTCTTCTTCAAGGCATCAAACATTCCCTTGCCTTTCCATTGCAACCCATTGCTGATATCTCGCACCAGCGTCCTCTGGCCCGCCGTTTTTTCACCAGAAGAAGACGAGGCACAGCTACTGCTACTGTAGTCAGAGTCGGTAACAGGGACTTCCAATACACCCCTCGGTGATGGCTCGTCCTCGCACGGCTCCATCTTCTTCAGACCCCTTGGTGATTCCATTTCTGGGTTTCCTTCCGTTTCTCCTATGGTCTCTGCCAAACCACCAAACCATTAAGAAAAGAAAAGAAAAAACAGAGGAAAAGAAAAAACGAAGACAAAATTTGTGCCTATTTCTTAATTTTTTCAGGTTGAATATAACAAATTTCCCATTCAAATAACCCATTTTGATGTTCCTCTTCATCTCCTTGATTTTTTTCAGCAACCAACATAACAATGAAAGACTGCAAAAATATCAAACACCTTGCACCATAATTCAAAAGGGGGAAATATAAGCTTACCTTCCACCAACATGGTTTAGACTTGCTGGGTATCCCAAATTACAAGTATGAAATCCAGTATGGGACCCTCTAAACCAGAAGAAGAAAGGCCTCTGAAGACAAAAGGAGGAAAGACTCCACTACATTTGGTTGTGCAGGGAGGGAAGAAGAAGAAGAAGAAGACGAGGAAGAAAGGGAAACAAAAACGCAGAGGGGAAAATGAGAGAGGAAGGGGAAGGTGGGTTTAAAAATGGGATATCTTTAGGAGTTGGTTATTCTTGGCGGACCAAAGGAAAGCCAAATGCCCACAATTACCAGCTTACAGATGATTGGAATATATGCTATATTTATACACCTGCTCTTCCTCTGTTTTGGATATGTTCTGGTTCTACCCAAAACATTTTCATTATTCTATTGTTTTCTTTTTTCTCCTCTGCTCGTGATGGAATCGCAGCCGTTGTTTTTGGCGCTCGTGATTTTTGCCGTGATGGATGGAGGGAGAGGGGCCTGGCCTGGCCTGGGCTTCCTTTAACGAACCAAAGCCAACTGCCAACGAATGCAAATTGCAATCCATCTTTTTTAGGGCAAATTACATTTGCCTTTTTTTTTGTCGTTGTTATCCATATTTGACTTTCTGTGGGCCCCAGGAGAAGAAATACGGTCTCAAATACATGAAACTTATGAAAATTTACATGTAACAGTATGTACGTATTAGTTTTTATGTCTCTCTCCACGTGTCGAGAATCTAAACTCTTGTTATTTCGGTAAAACTGAAGATCATTTTAATTCGAAGTTTCTAAAACAAAATATCCTTGAGAAATTTTGTTAGCAGTAATTTGAGAGAGAATTGACTGAATCTGAATGCATCTTTCGCTTGCTTAAATTGAACAAACAACTTAGTAGCAAGAGTAAAAAGAGAAAAAAAATTCATCATTTTTATAATACATCTTCGTTATAATTCTTAATGAATTTCCATCAAGACGCTATCTAAACCGTTTAATTTACAACGATCACAACAAGAACATAAAATTTGCATATTTGTGCTTTTTTTCCTTTAAAAAAAAAAACTTTGATACCATATAAAAGTAACCAAACAAGATCACGTATCTCGGATATAGAGATAAATACTCTTAACGAGCTACAATTTCCTTACATACATTACTAATCAATTAATTAGTACCCAAAAGCATATAATACTATCACCATTCAATGCGCACAAACACTTGGTTATATTTATTGACTTGTTAATCCATCAATGATTAATCCTACAAATTGCTCAATTACATACTAGCAATATTGATGTTTTAATCTGATTAGCAATAAAGAATAATCAAGCGAACATAAGTCATGCATGCTGCATGCAAATCCCAAATATGTCAAAGATTCTTTGGATGCAGAGTCAGAAAATTCTATTATTTATTTAAATTTCTATGTTAATTTAAAATAATCAATGACTAACCACTCAATGTATGCAAGTTCTTAATCATTCATTAATTTATAACCCATGCAAACCAATTGCTTAATTGCACACTAATAATATTAATAGAAAATTAATTTTTAGAAAAATATTGGTTGCTATTAGTATTAGGTGAGGTGACATTCGAAAGTTCAACTTATGCATGAAATGAAGTTTTTAAATTGTAAAATATAATTATCTAATAAAGGAAAATGATTTCCTATCAACATTTTTCTATGTGCAAAATTTATATAATAAAAAAGGAGCAGTTAACTTAACTGATTGGAAGCAAGGCAGTATCGGGTTATATGAATGAAGCCATGTCCGTTCGGATACCGGTGAAAAAGAATACAAGATGTTAAAAAATGAGACAAAAGCTATGCCCTATTGAGGTTTTCTGCAATTCAAAACCTTAAACTCATCCAAAGAATTATTAATTGCCTAATTATTTCGCATAAGGTTCATACATAAGTTGAATGATTTTCGGACGATAAAAATAAAAGAATTAACACGAAGTTGAAAGGGTCATTTGATTATGAGGATGGACAATACTGTTTTTAAATTTTGATTGCGGTTGATTGACCCTCATAGTCAAATTGACCCTCATAGTATATGCGATCATCATCCTATGAGAGTCAATCTGATTTGAGATATGTGATTCTATGGTCAATACCTGTTCAAAATTTAAAAATAACCACGAATTAGTTATGGCGCATTACATCATTAGCTCTTTATAAAAATGTGATTAGCAAATGGAAAAATAATTAAGAAGTGCATGAGGAGTATTTTAGAGTATCAATAACAACTTCTCTATTAATTCTATTTTTCCCCAAAATAAAAACAATCATCCAAATTTCAAGCACATGGAACTTCTTTATACCTTTTGATCTCTAAATTGTGAGCAGCAACGCGACCCGTGCCAAAGTTAAATTATGAACGCATGGAAGAGAAAAGTAATAGGATTAGGTGGTTCAATCATGTATTGGACAAAGAGGGCATTTTATTCCATCACCATTGATAGTGTTGAGGTCCGACAAGAACAAGCTTTTGACAAAAGAGCTTTTCAGAGAAGTTCTCAAGCTCAAGCGTCCTGAGATCACATTGATCTCAAGCAATTAATATTTACATATGACATGTAAGAAATGATGTAGTGGTTTGGGAAACCAAAAGTAGGTTTTCCATGACCCATCTGGAAGTGGTGCAGCCTGACAACATAATTAGAAGGGATAGATTTGTATTAGTAGGTGTGCATAGCTTTCATGAACCATGATGACGCTTGATTTCTATAAGCAAGCTAAATTATTGGCCCACAGCTCTTGATGCAAGTTGAGGTGATGAGAGGGTGAAGAAAAAAGATTAGAAATTTGATAGGTTATGGGTTCGACGACCTCATCCAGTAAATTGTAAAATAAAATTCTTTGAGGGCCTAACTTATCTTCATTTCATGATTGCGCCCTAACATGTGATGATTTCCAAAGGCAATCTCATTTTCTATAAACAAATTATAAATGCACAACGTTTGAAATTAGAAATTTGTTGATTTCAAAAATGGAACCAACTTAGAAATGATGTCTTCGGTCGCATGGCCTTACAACAAGTACAGAAAAGATCTGCAAGGAGAATCAGAGCAATGGTGAGGCCCTTGGGTATCGGTGTGGTATCGACCGAAAATTCTCCGATACTTAAATTAGTTCAATGAGAAGATAAGTAGTTGAATAAAGTAAGGGTTATGATGCCAAGCTATTATTACCTGGTGCATTGGGACGAGATACCTATTTTGTTGACAATAAAAAGGTGGAGCACCTCAGGTTGTAGTTTTGATGTGGAAATATGGACATCGCCCAATGGTCTGCCATGTGTCCTGACATGAAGGTTACGACAACGCTGTTTACTAGTTTGGATCCACCCTACAATATCATCTCATAATATGAACCATTCATTTCTTATACAAAAGTATGGAGCTCCTCTATTTATTTCATGATTTGAATCATTTTGTTTTTGATATCTTTGAACGATAACTTAAAAAATAAATAATTTTAAATTATGAGATGAGATGAAGTGATCGAAAACTAATAATTAACGTTGTATTAACTTATTAATTGATTAACGTTTGAAAAATCGTGATGATGCGTAATGAAAAAATCTCACTAACTAAAACCTAACCCCTCAAACATCACGGTGCACTATTATTGTTGTCCTTTGGAAATAGACATCTTTTTATGCGGAAGCCGTTCTTCAACTATACAAATTCATAGAAATATTCTTATTTTCTTTATTTTTTATCTTGTCAAAGAAATGGACGTATTTTCGTAAATTTAATATGTATACAAAATATTTATGAATTCGTTATTAACTCACCCGACAAGAAATTGGTTGTTTACTTAACAAATGTATGCATACGTAATTCCCATATTTAACCATCTGTACAGAATTAATTAACTAAATTGCGATGTTATTATAGTTAATCCACTCAAATGATGTTGTCAGTGTCACCATCACAAGCCACAGGGGCACAAACATTATAGTACAGTTGGTGAACTAAACCCGTTAAATGTGACCGAAGAAATATAATTTATATAAAAATAAAATAAAATATTAATATGGCTATAAAGCCAAGACTCACCAACATCACCAAGTCAGTGGGCAATGTCACTTCAGTTAGACAAGTGCGTTTAACTGAATTCTTTTGGCGTCTTCAATTCAATTCAAACTACTTGATTGTTTCGTTATAAATGGGGCCCTCCTGTTCTTCCCCTTTGTATTTTAAGAGTAAGTGAAACAAAACCTCAACTCTCAGTTTCTAGTTTCTTACCGGTTTTGGTGCTCCAGACTAAAAGTGGGACACCAACTCAGAAAAAAATAAAAAGAGAGAGAGAGAGAGAGAGAGGGTATCCTAATTTCACCACTCTTGAAGGGGATAGAGATCAATGGGATGTTTGGGGATGATACCAATGGGAGTGCTTCGAAATTACAATGAGTAAGTCGTAACCAAGTATAGAACTCATCACAAATGATATATTGTTTGGAATCGATGTACGTTTGAACATCAAAGGATGCATGCAACAACTGTTCTGCAAGCTAGTCTTCCATGAAGTGTGAGATTTCATTTCAATGGCCAAATAAATGGAAATTAACCATAATGGAAAAGGCCATAACCATTTCTTTCCTTGAGATCAATGCAAAGGATCAAAGTGCAAGCACAAGGATTTATATTTTATATTCAGTTTCTAGTAAAGCTTCATTAGAAAATACTTTCAGCATAGCCCATAAAACTGAAAAGTAAAGGTTTCGGCCCAAAAGGTTAGGGCTTGGTTTAACTTTATAAGTTGGTAGAAGCCCTAAAACAGAACCTGCCCCAGAGCCCATTTAGCATATAAGTATAGAAACTTCATCTCTTGCAGCAGGGTAATTTAAACCATCCGTTGTATAGCTTGGGGTTAAATATTTTGTTGCAAGCATAATTGTGACTGCATAAACATAATGGTTGACTAGGATATTGATCTTTAGAAAAGAAAAAATAAAAATTACAAGCCCAATTGTGGCTGCATAATACATTCATAACACATCCATAACTTACT